TCCTCCTCCTCCTCCGAGAAGCCCGAGAGGAGAGCGGGGAGCTGGCGCAGGGCTGGCACCGGCGCCGGTGCCCCGCGAGCGTCAGTTGCCCTTGTGCTCCGCGGTCCAGGCAGCCCTGGCCGATGCGGCCGGGGTGCCAGGCCGACCTTGCAGGCTGTTCTTCCCCGGTGGCCGAGCCGCTCAGAGCATCTGTTTGGGGCCCCAGGGACCTGGCTCCCGGCCCTAACTTGACCTGCCACTGCGGGACCCTGGGCCCTTGTCCTGACGGTCTGAGCCTCGGTTTCCTCCCCCGCACCTCCCGGGAGGTTATAGGCTCTCCTGGGTCGGTGGGGCTGCTGAGTGCAGGACGCACACCCAGCACCAGCCGAGGCCGGCTCTCGGCAACCCCCTCCCTGGCCCTGGTTCTGCTGTCGGACAGTCGAGCCCAGCTTGCAGCCTTTTAAGGAAGCACCCAGCGGATTGCTATTTTACAGTTTCAAAAACGTGACTGGCCCATCGTCTCTTGTGCGATTCTGGTTAACACTGTCAACTGCCTAGCTGTTGCCTTTCAACGCGTGCACAGGAAGCAGGGCCCAGGGAACGGGGTGCACAGGAGGGAGGTGGGGCTCCTCTTGGGTTGAGGTCCTTGCTCGGGGAAGATCTCCCAGCGTCTGCTCAGCCAGAGTCTCAGGGCACACGTGGACCCTGCCTCTGCCTCCCAGGGCTTTCGGGCTTCGGAGCAGCAGGGAAGGGTGAAGACACAGCACACAGTTGGGGCTGATGAGCCCGGAGACAGAACCGAACCGCCCTCTGGACAGCACTCACACACCCATGCGCGGGGGTCTTTGACTCTGTCCACGTTCAACGAGGGGAGAAACATTGCAGCAGGGTCCCACGCCCAGCTGCGCTTCCTCACGGGCCAGACCGTCCCACCGCGTCCAGGCTTCAGCTTCGCAGATTTTAAAGTTAGTGTGCGCGTGTTATCCACGTGTGTTTCACATCCCTGGTAGGATCATTCCTGCGGAAGGTCATGACTGGTCCTGGAAGCTGTGAACTAAACTGCTCCACGAAGAGAAGGTTAACACTCACAGCAGACTTAGTCCTTCCTCGATTCTGTGAAAACAGACACCCGCTTATCCCAGGGTGTGTTTGAAGAGGCTGGATTCCTTTTCTGCTGTAATCCATGCATTTCTTTCTTTTTCTCCCCCTTCTTCTCCTAGACCGCGCAGACGGTTCTGGTGGTGGTCGTGGTTTTTGGGGTGTCCTGGCTGCCACACCACGTCGTCCATCTCTGGGCTGAGTTTGGGGTGTTCCCGCTGACCCCAGCCTCCTTCTTCTTCAGGATCACCGCCCACTGCCTGGCATACAGCAACTCCTCGGTGAACCCGATTATATATGCGTTTCTCTCTGAAAACTTCAGGAAGGCTTATAAGCAGGTGTTCAAGTGCCACGTTCACAAAGAATCACCCCTTAATGACACTAAAGAAAACAAAAGTCGCGTGGACACCCCACCCTCGACCAATTGTACCCACGTGTGAGAAAAGGCAGATTAGAATATTGTGAATGTGGCATTTCTGTGCTTGTGGACCAGACACACAAAAAATACAACGCGGTATTAAGCCAGACAACAACTTGTCTTGACGACAATTCATATTCTATTAATTAAATTCCGTTTGTGTTTAAACAGTACTTTGACCCACTTGGGAAATCATAGGTCTGGTGAAGATTACTTCTGAAAGTTATTTTATTCCTAAATTCTCTTCCCAAACAAAAGAGAATGCTAGAGATTTATATCTCTTGAGAAATGAAAGTGTTAAAAAAAGAAAGTTTAACAGAATTCCAGAGATAAATACGCTTAGTGTTTCATAGGATGAGGAATAAGAACTTATTAAAAACGGTCAGAAATGTTTGTGATCTACATTTTGCAGCAAATTTATTTGGAAAACACATTTATGCTTTAGTTCTTCAGTTTTAAGGTAAGGGTTAATATTATAAGCTATTTAATGTGTTTTAAAACATGATCATATCCACATGCGAAGGTTTTCCCTGAATTTTATGTACATGGAGACTCACCTGTTCGATGGAAGTAAGTTTATTTGCACAGATCACGTTTGCTCCTTGCTGCAGATACAGCGCTGCGTCCGTCTGCCACCACGAGGTCCGTTAGGTTTATCTCAGGAGGTCAACAGGCTGTGGCCCTGGGGTGTCAGCCGTCGGGATGTCAGTTAAAACTATCCTGTGAACTTAGTCTTTGTAGAACCGACGAAACGTCAGGGAAAAGCACCACCTGCGGCTAACCTAATAGTCGAAGCTGTGAATGAGTTTTCAAGAATGAAGCTGTGTGTTCAAATTATATTAGCTATGCCGTGAGTGGAATCTACCCAAAAGAGAGATTTTTTTAAATGTCAGTGAAGATGTATAGATAACTGTTTCCACGAGTTCAGAACTCACTGAGCTACATGAGGTAAACCATCATGCCATGTGAAGAGAGCACACTAAATGTTCGGTTCAGACAGATTTCTGAAGAAAACAAACCTTGTGAATGGATAAACGTAAGGATATCTTTCCTAGTACCAACAACGCTTTTTTCATTAAATTTGTGATGATGTCTAAAGCGCATTTACCCCAAATATGATTCCCTCTAGGAATGTTAATTTGGGGTTTCAAATCATCATGACTCGAGTTTCAAATGTAGTTTTCATATTTACTCCTGTTTACAATGAGAAAATGGTATGAAAAGATCAAATTATCCTACATCAGAATGCAATTTTCAGACTGCGAGACTGTGATATATTTTAGGATGACCCAAAAGCAGGAAGATTTAAAGAAAACAGTTTTGTGGAATGTTCACCCATGTCAAATCAGGACTTCATGTGAAATGCCAAATTTTAGATCAGAAAACCAAGTCGCTGTCCGTCTTTGCATGTTAGCGTCTCTAGCTCGCGGATTTATTTGCACTGATTGTCTTCCTCCCGTGAACAGTGTTTACACTCGCAGCGGGATCCACAGTTCCCTGGACAGAAGAGGAGAAAATTGTCAGGTAGGCTGAGACAACGTGAAATTTCACGTTTGGTGGCCGGGGAAAGAAGCAGTGTACGTGTGAATGTGAGTATTTTAAAGAACAACAGAAGTCCCTTGCATGGAGTGTCTTTTGCACTTTATTCAAATACAGCAGCAGAAGCGTTTTATGCTGATGATGACACCGCACGCCTGTGCGGAACCTGAAGCTGGCTCTGCAAACCCCAGCACGACACCCATGTGCGTGAATTCCTGCAGCTGCACAGAGCGGCGGCCTGACTGCCTCTGGACCTGCGTGGATGACGGTGACTTCTTGCACCGTTCTGTTCTCCTCTGATTCCTACGGCACCATGAAGTATTAACACCAGCACCACTGCTGCTGTTTCCTAAGACGCACCGAACACCGGCTTCGGCGTGTTTTCACCCTGTTACGTTGCGGCCCCTCCCTGATGCTGTTGGCGGGACGGGAGCTCAGGGCACAACCTGCAGTGATCAGACCTGCAGAACCCACGTGCGCTGAGTGCGCACGCAGATCGCTTTTAAAAACTGAGGTCTGGTCGATTTCCGGGGCTGTGTTAATGTCTGACGCGCAGCAGAGTGACTCAGTTACACATGCAGCTACGCTCCTGTTCGTTTTACTCTTCATTCTAGGCCACCACGAGGTCCTGAGGATGGTTCCCGTGCCGTCCAGGAGGACAGTGCCGTGTGTGTCTGCAAGTGCCCGGCTCCCACTTTGTCCCTCCCCGGTGTTCTTCCCGCCCGTCGGCAATTTCACCCGCTCCTCTTGTTCGGAGTCTTCTCCTCTGACAGACTGTGTTGCTGATGATGCCGTAGGTCTGCGAAGATGTAAATCTGTGTAGGTGCCCAGGTGAGGAGTTCCTGGAGGACTCATAAGGCGCTTCGTTGTCCAGACGGGCGCCGAGGAGAACTTGCTTCTGCCGACAGTCTGCTTCCTGGGAAGCCGGTTTCCTCAGGTGCAGCTGGTGTCACCCATTCAGAAGCACCTTCTTGTTTTTCACTGAATAGCAGAGAACCCCACCCCCCGGCACTCTTTCTTCCTTTCCTTTTTCCTTTCTTTCCTTCCCTCCCTCCCTTCTTTCTTTCTTTCTCTCTTTCTTTCTTTCTTTCTTTCTCTTTCTTTCTCTCTTTCTTTCTCTCTTTCTTTCTTCCTTCCTTCCTTCCTCTTTCTTTTCTTTTTTCCTTCCTTCCTTTCTCTCTTCATTTTTATACATTTTTTCCTACTGTTTGCTTTTTTTTAAATTGAAGTTGAGTTGATTGACAGTGCTCTGTTAGTTTCTGGTGTGTGGCCTAGTGACTCAGTCACACGCATCCACCCCACGCGCTCTTTCTCCCAGCCACCAGGCTAAAGGCGATACCAGGTGTCCCTTTGAAGTCAGGCTGCTTGGAAAACCTTGTTTTCAGTGAACTTCAAAGAAAATGGATCTGTGCTCCTTAGACTGGGCGGCCTCTGTGTCCCAAGGCTGCTGGTGATCTTCTGGGCCTCGGCTTTCCTGCAGGGGGCGGACAGCTCTGGAATATTCAAACCGCAGACACGCTTGCTGTCTCGTGTGCATGAGCAGTAGTTTCGGTCTCCTCCTGGTGAGGTCAGGGACGTGGTGGAGGAGACTTTCTGGTCCTGGGGTCCCAGGAGAGCTTACCCGGATTCCTCTCTGGGGTGGTGGTCGGTGGGGCTGCGCCTACCCGCGCTGGTTTCCTGGGAGGGGTGCTGGTCACTTCTGAGAGGTTGTGACTCAGTGGGCGGTGACAGGGCTCGTGAGGCCGGGCTATGCCTGCGGCCACGGCACCTCTCCCGGGCACACCCGACTGGCTGTGTGGCGTCCTCTTCCCCGCCCCAGCCCAGCTGCTCATTGCATCCTTTTCTCGAGGGAGATCCCACAGTCCCTGGGCTAGAACCTTCTGACCTGTCACGAGTGAGGATGAACTATGGGTGGGACGTAGGGCTCAGAGCAATGATCAGTGAGAGATGCAGAATCAGACTCTGAACAGGCAACTTGTCTGCCTTCACTGTAGGTGCCACTGGCCAAACACGGTCTCCGCTGAGAAACGGCAGAGATCTGAGGAAGCAGAAGTGGGTGGGGGTCACGCTGATTTTCAGTGGAAACCTTCCCATCTTGTGAGAAAGAAAAAAATCAGCATAAACGTGGTCGGGGCCACTTGGCTTTGACTATGAGAAAACACCGTTTAAAATGGAAAGTCCATCACTTTTCTCCTAAAGAGACGGTTGCCAGCCTGTGGGTGTGTCCGTGCAGCAGCTCAGCGCCAGCCGCTCTCGGTGAGGGCAGCGCGCCTCAGGCTCTCCTGTCCTGTTGAGCTGCTCCGCTGCCCGGGCGCCCGGGGGAGCTCTACCCAGAAGAAGGTTCGCGAGTGAGTGAACCGATTGCTGGGTTCGTGGTATTTTCGAAACAGGGCTGGCGTGGAGAAAGACGGAAACTGAAAACTTCTCTTGACATGGAACCTGGTGGTGACACGGGAGTATTCGTGAGCCAGCAATGGGTGCGTAAATGTTATTTTCCACAGGTTGGCTTCCTGAGTAATGGTTCACTGCCAGGTATTTCACAAGGATGGAAGATTTGGCCTTGAGGGATAGAAATGCAAAGGTTCCTTGAATACAATTGACCGAATCTTTGAATGTCTCCCATTACATCTGCCTGGTGCCTTGTAGGAGAGGCAGTGGATGCTCGGGAACTCGAGGCTGGGTTGGATCTGTTGGTGAGTTGCTGTGGGAAATGCTGCCTCGAGTGAGCGGGGGAGCTCCCGGAGGTCCCCGTGCCCTGCGCTCACCTCGGAGCGGGGGCTCTCACACTTCCCCAGGCGTCGGGATCACCCGGAGAGTTTGTCACAGCAGGTGGCCCGGGCTTCACCTCCGCGTGTCTGATTCTGAAGATTCTCACATGCTGTTTGTTACTCCAATGCTGTTTGTCCAGGGACCACATTTTCAGAACTACTGCCTGATCTAACTGCTATCAAGGTGGAGTCGAGGATTTTTCTTAGGGCCTCCAGGTGTGCTGCTGGCATCGCGAGCCGCTCAGGTCGAGTGGACGGCCCTTTACAAGTCAAAATCGCTGAGGTTCTGTGGGGAAAAAGTGCCCCAATGGGACCTAAATCATTCAGATTTTTATTGTTTAGGTTGAACAAGTTCATACAAACCCGTTCGGCTGTCACACCGCCAAAGCTACAGAAAGTTGTAAGTTTTCAGGAGCGTGGATGAGTTTAATAACTTACACTAGGGGTTTTCAGAGGTGGTCATAATGTTTCCTGAGTGAGAATAAAATAAAACAGCTTGGTGGAAAAAAGTACCTATAAATTCACTTTGTCCCCCCCAAATATAGAGGGGTAGGTACAGTACTCGAGATTGTTACGTATGTAGTTTTGAACTCAATGTTTAAGTTGAATATGTGCATGTCTTTCTCTATGGCTGCTAATTTTTAAAATTACGTTATTATCTCTAAGGGATAAATGTAACTTACTCTGTGTTTAAAGTTTTCCAGTTCAGTATCGCCTGGTAACAAGTAGTTTGGATAAGGAAGACCATTCATGCATACTGTGTTTTCAGTCTGCCAAGGTGATTGCTTAAACGCTGCTGTGTAAATGGCCCTGACCTGGGTCTCCTCACACCAAACGCTGTTACCACTGGTCTCCAAAGTCTATTTCTCTGAAATTTGTCTTAGCGTCTAGAAACTTGGCATGAATGTTATGTCCAAACAGAGCATGAACAGCAGTAAACTTGCAAATCCAACCCCCCCAAATTAAGAGGTTATATGAATCCGCTTCGTAGCAAATGCAGTCATTCCCAGTCACCTGCCTCTGCACGAGATCCAGCTGAGATTTGTGGTTTGGATCCATTTTCTTGACGTGAGAATAAACGTTGCTCCTCCAAGTG